ACATAGACAAAGAAATGATAAAATTTTCTCAATTTAAACATTGAGTCAACTACAAGTTTCCTAGATAGGAATTAATAATCATATTCTGTGTCCAAGTCTTCTTTATCATTGTCACTATTATTACATCTATACATTTTGGCTTTCAAAATTAAAACCCCAGAAGTAGCTCTATAAAAGGACCCTAATGTCTCTGTTCATAGGGACTTTTTTGGAGGCAACATATAGTACCTTCTCTGCACCAGTTTAGCACACTCAACCTTATCCGTTGTTTTCTTTGTACAATACTTATATTCACTTTTCATTAAATGTTTAATATGTCTTGTAGTTGAAATATGACTGTCTTTTGAATTTTGTTTTACTTATTTTGCTGTTACATGTATGTTTTGCTTTAGAGACCTATGACTTTTTATTTTTAATTATGAATATGTCATGAATTCTGAGTATTTATATACATATAAATATTCACTTGGTCCTTTTACCTACACAATCTTTATGCTTTAGTCCCTATACTTGAAATAACTCATTTAATCTTTTTGAATTAGTTTTTAATTGGTTTTAGTCCCTGTCGTTTAGAATTACATGGACTAAAATAGATTAAAAAGTACATGTGTTGGACTAGAAAGTGCATGTGTAAGGACTAAAATGAGTAGTTTCTAGGTGTATGGCTAAAATGTAAAGATTGTGCTGGTAATGAGTAATTAAACCTAAAAAACTCACAATAATGGTCATCCTGCTATGGACTATCCCACCATACCGTTTTCTGGATTGACTTCTGCATGCTATTGTCTGATATTGATAACTGTGATTATCATATGCAGGAAAGGATATTCCAGAAGAAGGTGATATGCACAAATTACTGTTTTATACAGGTGCTGATTATGTGTTGCATAAGGTTAGTTTGCCTTTTTCTTTTGGTTTGTTGGTTTACACAGGCTTTCAATTATGAAGGTATGCTTTCTTTAGAGATAGCATCATCATTAAAAGTATAAAACTTTGTTCTGAACATTTTTCTTTGCTGATTATCCTCTCTTCATTTGCAGTTTTTTCTATCAGATAATGCAGAAAATGAGCTGAATAGGCTAAAGTTGAGGTTTTCTCAGATATATTATGATAATCTTCTCAGAGTAAGTTGCCTTGATTTAGTGTAATGGCTTTTGCCGAGGGTTCTGCGGGCTAAAACCTGGCATTTCTTGCTTGTAACTTTGTTCAGCTTGCAAAACCAATAGATGGCCTCGAAGACTGGTTGGAAGCAGTTTATACAGCTCGTATCCCCTGTGCTGTGGTTTCAAGCCTTGATAGAAGAAATATGTTAGAGGTTTTGGAGCGAATGGGCCTCAGCAAGTATTTCCAGGTTGGTTTTAAGAAAACTTTACAAGAAATCAAATTTTGCCATGTTTCTCCAATTGAAAAAAGGCAGCAGTATGTATAACTAATTTTGCTTGAAATAGGGTTGTATGGGAAGACTGCCAGGTCTTATATCTCTCAGGATACCATGGACAATTATAAATACTATGTAGCTTGTTTAGTTGGGGTGTTGGTTTCGACTGCAGTTTGACTCACCGTCAATAGATTTAGAAAAAAACTGTTCACGTTCTTTGGTTAAGAAAACAAGCATTTTGTTTTTGCTGCAATTCATGCTCTAGATCCATTACAGGGAGGACAAATGCTATTAAGACACTATTATTGGGTAAAATCCATGTTGGTTGCAATCCATATTGTTCCTTCACTTCTACGTAGTGGAGCTTACGTGACTGTTCCCCCGATCATAGTGTTGTGCTAACTTTTCTCTCAAAGGGAATTAGGGATACAAAAGGACTTTCCCCTTCATTTTTGTGGGGAACCCCAATTTGATAACTTGGCCATTTATGGCTATATTTTAACCTATTTTATGTAGTAGATATAGTATGTAATATTATGAATAACTCAGACATGATTAAAACTTTTCCCCTTGCTGATTGCCTCATTTTATTTGCAGGCAATTGTGACAGAGGAGGATGGAATGGAGTCAATAGCTCATAGATTTCTTTCTGCTGCTGTCAAGGTACAAATTATCCATAACATTCAATTTTGATGAAATGATTCTGCCTTGAAACTATTACTATTCTATTACTATATAGACTTTGGTTTTTTAACATTTACTACATGTATAATTACACTCAGGCAAGTTTCCATCTCCATCTCTGCTAATATGTAAATACCAGAAACTTGTGAAATCTACTATGTATGGCAAAACATGGACATGAAACTGGAGTTATATTCCTTCTATGTAAAGTTGAGTTTTTTTCTGTATTTTGAAGTTGAGGGATATTACATAGGGTAAAGATGCAGAGACAGGATAACCAATGATTTGAATCCAAATTCCATTGATTTTCTTCAAAGATGTAGGCTGAGTGGTATTTTAGTTTTAAAAGGTTGAAACCTATAGTGCCTCTGCTGTAATTTTTGTGGGGTGATATCTTGTCTATTATATTCTTTTTTTTTTACATTAAGATCCTGAAATCATCTTAGTAGAACATGAAAAATTCTGGAATCATCGTTGCTAATCGTGTGGACCCAGATATTGCTCACAATAAACGCTAAAGGTCCAAAGTGGAAATATATTTGGGAGTGTGTATATGTAGCATTGCTATTATATTTAGGATTGTTTAAGTTCCCCGGCTAATATCCTGTAAGTCTTTCATAAAATTCTCATTCTTATTACAATATTATGCTAGCTTTTGACCTGTTTGCCTATGCCTTGCAGTTGGATCGTAAACCTTCCAAATGTGTGGTTTTTGAAGATGATCCTAGAGGAGTAACTGCGGCGCACAACTGTACAATGATGGCTGTAGCATTAATTGGAGCTCATCCTGCGTGAGTAATTCACATTTATGCATATAATAACATAAGAAGTGGGTACGAAAATAAGATTTGATGAAACGTTTAAGAAATGCACATTTCCAATTTAGTGGTTTTCATGTGCAAACACCACTTCTCATGTACACAAGTACATGGAAGTAAGTAGAACTTCAACTTGGTATTTGATTTTGTGTCATCCTGCGAGGGATGATGACATTAATGCATCATACTTCGCTTCATTGAACTGAGAGTAATTTTCAATCAGTTATAGTCTTCAGTAATTTAAATTTTCTGATGAAATTATTCATGTGAAATTTAGAAACTGATTGATGTTGAAAACCTGTAGGTATGATTTGGGTCAGGCTGATCTTACCGTTGCTAACTTCAGTGAACTTTCTGTGNACTGAGAGTAATTTTCAATCAGTTATAGTCTTCAGTAATTTAAATTTTCTGATGAAATTATTCATGTGAAATTTAGAAACTGATTGATGTTGAAAACCTGTAGGTATGATTTGGGTCAGGCTGATCTTACCGTTGCTAACTTCAGTGAACTTTCTGTAATCAACTTGCGAAGACTATTTGCCAACAAGGGTTCTTCATTTATGGAACTGCAGAAGCAGATCATAGAGAAAACTCCTCCCAAAAGGAAACTTACAATAGACACCATTTTTTAATACATTTTCCTCCATTTGCTAAATTTCCTTGTAATTAAATAGTTATGAACTCGTAATTTTTTTATATCCAATAAAATTGCAATCAGTTCGATCTGATTTCATCCCTATGTTTTATTTCAATTTCTTTTTTGTTTTCACTTATTGGCCTTATCTTTTGGTGTGAAAATCATAGGAAGTGGACAATCATAGGAATCAAGAACAATTGGTCACAATTTCCTCAGCCTAAGAATAAGAGGGGATTCAGTTAACAAGAAATTAGACACTTTGACACTTAAATAATTTGGATTAGCCACATCAAATCCTAGTTAAAAAACATTGTTAGAAAGATAATGATGAAGACAACTTCCATTTTGTTGTTTCTTGATATAAACCAAAGTTCCAAATTTATCCTACCTGAATACTTTATAAAAATAACGATTTGATGGTTTTTCGTATTAACAACAGGCGAAACTAAATTTAGTTAATTTAAAAAAATAGAACTGAAAGCAATTCAAAATATAATGAACAATATGAAGTTAAAAACTATCACTTGTATATTTTTTTTTACTTCAAAAACAGAGAAAAAAGACGACATTAAGCTAATTTCATGTAAAGAGTGTACGAGTTGTAGTAATCTTCTTGAGATGTATCTAATTTCTATAAATAAAAAGAAGCTAATTTCATATTTAATAATGGTTCAAATTTTTTCATGAATTTTTAACTCATGTTTTATGCACCATTAATATCCTTATAGGATATTATCCTTGTACCAATCTTTGTTTCAAGTATTTAATGCAAATAGATAAGTATAACTCAAACTCGAAACCACTAATAGAATACTCCTATATTATATGATCTATGTGTCTTTTTCCTTGTATATTTTAATATAGACATCCTTAATCAATGTAAAATTATATATTTTACTTATACTTAGGTCTAAAAATTACTTAGATATTTATTAAGAAAATTAAAGATATTTTATTTATAAAAGTGCTCTCATGTGATTTTCAATTAATCTCCAACTCAAAAGTCCTAAACTTTAATAAAAAAATTATATTTATTGATTCATTGAACACCAATTAGCATACTCTATTTTTATATTTGCCCCTTTAATATACGATGTATAATTTTTATTTCTCCATTATTTTGCAATTGAAGTTTTCAGATTTTACAAAATCTTTGATTTCAGTGTAATATTTAATTTTATATACATTTACTTTTAATTATTATCCAACTTAAGGATTAAAGTGATTAATTAAAATATACAACAAATAAAAATTTGCAAATTAAAAATTAAACTAAAAGTTACATTTTTTTTTCTAATACAAAAACGCCTATTATAAAATTAAAGGAAAACAAAAATTAGAATTTATCCTCTTTTTTTCTTTTTGCTTTCTATTTTGTTAGGTAATTGTATGTGTTTATTTACATTTTATTGCAAAGAAGTTGATAGCATAGGTGGAAGCAGAGGTTGTGTACTGTCAGAAAATTCCATGGTGAATTTGGTGACATGGCAAAAGCGCAACAAATTGGGGATTGCAATTGGTGAATCAACTGTCCGTTGCTCATCTCATTCATTTTCTTATCTTACCATTCTTCCCAAACCATATCACATCCTTCAAACTTCAATTTCTCTGACACAACTTTTCAGCTCCACTTCACTCTGCAATTCAATTCAAAAATGTTGTGTGTCAACACCGCCTTCACTTCTTTCATACCCAGAAAACCAACTTGTGTTTTTCCCTCCAAATCAACCACCCCAATTTCCTGCACCCTCCAAGGTATTATTTTATTAGCATCCACTTATTAGGGTTTTCATTTTCTGGGCATTATTGTGCAATTTAAGTGTTCTTCTCGACATTTTCAGCTCTCCACCAAGACCCAGATAACACATCGTTGTCCTTTGACTTTTGCCCCCAAATTGAATACTGCCGATTTCTTTTTAGTTAGAATTTAATAGCCCTGAACTCGTAGTTGACAATTTTCATTCCTTCTATTTTGCTATGAACCTACTTTTTCAATTCCTTGCGAAAATGTAGTCGTCATTTCTGGTCAAAGCTACAAACTCATTCTTTCTGATTAATGAATTTTGTTTGAGTTCTGGAAATCTTGTGCAGGAACCGTTGCCGAACCAAAATCTACAGCTGCTGCTGAACCGCTTTTGCTTAATGCAGTTCGTGGGGTAGAGGTTGAAAGACCACCGGTTTGGCTCATGAGGCAAGCAGGGAGGTACATGAAGGCAGGTTCATGCAGCTATTTGTGATTTATGGCTTACGTAAAACTTAATCTAAGATTTAGGGCATCCTAGTTTGGTATTTGGTGTCATAAATTTCTGTATATTGTGAAATTGCATGTGCAGTGGTGTTATGTTGACTTAGAGAAAATTTGTACAAACTAACTTTTGTTTAAACTAAATTAAGGTTACCAGAAGCTGATTTATTTTTTCTTCACATATCCAAACAAGCAGGTGTAGAAGGGTGTGTTTTAGTTAACTCTTCATTTTATAAGTTACACACCAACTCTGAAACTAAACATAGCTAGCGGAGTTTTTACATTTTCCAAAGTTTATCTCTATTTCAGAAAATTTCTGGACTTTTTTTATGATGGCCTTAGCCCAAGAATTTGTTTGAATTGTTTATGATCCATGGTTATATGCTTCAATTGTAAATTTAAGTCCAACAACTATCGTGATTTAAATGCCACTAAATCTAAAACTAGTTGGGTTCTTGTTCTTCATGAATTGAGTTTGGTGAGCATGTCTTCTTTACAAAAAATGAATCTAATTTGCCAATTTTTATCAAGCAGAGTTACCAAACCATCTGTGAGAAATATCCTTCATTCCGTGAAAGATCTGAAAATGTCGATCTTGTGGTGGAAATTTCCCTGCAACCATGGCATGTTTTCAAGCCTGATGGAGTAAGATAAACTCTGGCACTCATTAATATATCTGTTATAACATTTTTTATGCATTGATTATGATTTTGTTGCCATTAATAATTTGCGGGGCACTGATTCTGTGACAGGTGATTTTATTCTCAGACATTCTTACCCCACTTTCTGGAATGAATATACCCTTTGATATTGTGAAGGGTAAGGGTCCTGTTATATTTGATCCTATTCACACAGATGCCCAGGTCAATCAAGTGAGAGAGTTTGTTCCTGAAGAATCAGTTCCATACGTTGGTGAAGCACTGACAATATTGAGGAAAGAGGTCTGACTGGTGCTATGTTCCGTTGCATTTCTGCTTTTGTTCGTTTTACACCCCCACTTCCTTTTTATACCTGAAGTATGCATGTTTTGTCCAATACCATAAGACAGGAAATTCTGTATATTTTGTGATTAAAAGGGATTTCTCTGTATTTTAAGGATGTTAATTGGTTGGGGGCTGTAATAACATGAAATGATGGAGAAAGGTGATTAGGCATACGTCATGTGGTACTAGGGGGAACATATAATATTGAATTTCAAAATTATATATTTTATTGAACTGTCTACCATGCTGGTGGTATTAATATACTGGGTTAATCTTCATTTTCCGTTTGCATTATAAAGTTTTTTTATGTATTAGTAAATAACGGAGCTTCATGGAGACCCAAATATCTTGTTATTGTTTC